TTTCATTTTAATAATAAATACGCGAGCGGCGTAAAGCTCGCGAGCCGAAGCGGATGAAATATTTATTTTGTGTTATGACAGAAATGTGCGGCCATAGTCATCGCTATGTGTGCATATAAAAATGTATCTATTTATCTATCTATCTGCGAGCCCATCTTCCTCTCTCTCCCTCCAACCTGCCCCCTTTTGATAGTTCATGGCATATTTTGTAGCGAATATTTGGTGAAAATGTTTTTATTATTCGCAGCGTGATGCCGTAATGTGGGCCATTGAAGCTGACACACAGCTCGTCGGCACAAAATGCAACTATATATCTGTCTATATATCAATCCATCTGCAGCCCCCCAATTCTGGTCGATTTTTGGGGCCTTCAAATATCATTGCATTTCTGCATTTACGAATTTCATTTCATTACGTTTTGCTAATTCAATAAACCGCATAAATTGAATTTTTATTGCTCTATTCACAGTGCGAATTTATTAGTTGGATTCCATTCTGGTTTGGTTTAGAACCAGCCTTTTTTATTGGTTTTTCAGTCGAGATAATAAACAAAACTCAATTATTATTCATCAAAAACACACATTTTAAGACTTGCCTAGGAATTACGGAACTGAATACGCCAAAAATCGAATGAATTAATAACGACATTCATTTACTAAAATTTATTTAATAGGTATTTCTATGGAATGTCAAATTAAAAGATTAACTAACTTGAGATTGGTTATTTTCAATTAAAGAAACCATAAATACTGAAATTCAATATGATAAAAGCCTCAGCAATTTAAACAAATTAATTCTATTATAAAACAACACCAAATATAAGTTGGACTTTCTATTCGATTTTTACTTAATTAACAAAGGAATTTAAGAAAGTAATTGCTCTTAATTGGTTTAATGTTAAATAAATACTTTGAATTAGAAGAAAATTGCTTTGCCCAATTGATTGCATTTAATATTTATTAACTAATTATATACTTTGTATGATTTTTATACTGTTTCAGGGTATTCCAATTTTAGTTAAAAGCTTATAACAATGTAAAGGAATCATTTCCGACCAAACAAATCATATATATTATTGATCAGAATTAACAGGGAAATTGAACTAGCCATGTTTGGTTAAAAACTAAATTTTGGAAATTTTTCGATTTTTGCAAAAAAAAAATTATTTGCAAAATAGGCAAAATATTCAAGTTTCTAAAATTTAAAATTGGGTATGCAGATTTATTAACCTAATAAAAACTAGTACAGGAACGATTTCCGAATTTAAATTAATGCATTTTTGGCATAGTTATGAGAGTTTTAAATTGATTTCTAGAAAAATTGGCAATCTTAAGATTTAGATTGATTTAATGAATGACAATATTTTAAGTGTTGTCTTGTTTTTTTTATAATTATTTCATTATGGTGGGTAATTATTATCATATTATTTTAAGGTTTTATTATAATCAATTTAGCTTAGGGACTTAATCCTTATACTAAATCTTTTTTCGATCTTTTTATTCCATTTTGAGTCAAGTTGTTCTTTGGGATAATATAAGTTCTCTTCTAAAAGCTGTCTGCATACCTAATTTAAAATTTTTAACTTAAGAAAAGGAGTTGCTAATCTACTTTTTATCATTTAAATTAAAAAAATTATTTTCTATAGTTACTTAATCATAAACGAAAGCAATTTAGCAAATATCAACTGCTATTCCTTTCTTAGTCTCCCTAATTAACATAGCAGACTTACCAAATATAACCCAGGCATAAATCGAATAATATCCCAATAGTCACACTCACAACTCTATCTTCGAAAAATCCAAATTCAAAATTGAGTTACCCAAAAATTCATGGCCAAATAATTGCCTGAAATGGTAAAGAAACAGAGAAAGACGAGAAACAGGTAGAAGAGGTAGCTACTTGAATGCAATTATTTCCTTCGTTTATGAGTAATTAAAACGAAACGAGAGCGAGGCGAGGCGAGGATTGGCAAAATATCAAAAATGGCCATCATTGTATTGTTAAGAGTGTGTGTGGAGGAGTGGGGGCGATAAACAAGTGTCTGACACACACACACACACCGTTGACTGTGTGTGCCAGTGGCCCCTGTGCTTTGCATAGATTGTCCACTTTAGATTAAGCCATGAATAATTTATGTGCGTCTCTTATGATTTTAATTGTTTGCAATGGCAGCTCAACAACTCCACCAGAGCCACTGGAGCAACCCTCCCGGACCTTCCCAGCCCTTTCTTGTGTGTGTATTCCTTTCAAAGCCAAAAGAAAAGGCAGGGAAGAGAAGCAACGAACGAGGCAAAAACAAAGTAGCGCCCCAAAAGCAAATGCAAAACAATACAAATTCATCGAGACTGGACTTTCCAGGCTAAGGTATCTGTGTGTGTGTGTGTGGAGTATCTGTGTGATTGTGTATTGGTGTGCTTATGTTTTCTGCCTCTTCCCAGGCCATTCATTCATTTCAGACCCCTTCAAAAGCCAGCAGGAACGCAGGCATTTGCATTTCCCTCACAGATACATATACATATATATGTTATGTATATTTTGTAGAAGTGTGTGTGGCGCTTAACCCTCGAGTGCCGGCACCCCGCTGGCTCAACTGGTTGACCGTCATCCTCCTCATCGTCGTCGTCGTCTGGCATCGTTCCATTTCGCTTCTTTCTCAAAAATTATATGAAAATTATACCAATTTCAAGTCATAAAATTTTTTCAGCTTAATAAATTTGCAGACATTTTGTACTGGGAACTGAGGAACTTGGAACTTGGGGTTCATTGTCGTCATTGGTCTCTGCGTTCTCATGCAAAATGGTCAATTCCAAAGTGGCTTTAAGCCCATTCCCTCCACTGACTTCTTTTGGCTTTATGTATATATATATATATTCTCGTACATTGTACATTGGGGGAGAGCGTTAACCAGACGCAGTTGCCTCGCTTAAACGAAGCTCATAAATTTGCCTCAAACAATTTCCCCACTTTTTTTTTCTGTGTGTGTGAGTTTGTCCAGCCACTTTAACCATTTTCATTTCCCATATTTTCCTTGGGTTTTTTTTTTGGGGAAGTCAATTCGGTAGTGGGAGGTGGGAAAAACGTGGGTTTCACTTTGTTTTGGGGGGTTTTTTTCCATGAGCATAAGTCAGGTGAAACTGAAATGGCAATAAATCAGACAATCCTTTGGCATGAATCATGCTTCTAAAGGTATTATTTTACAGCATTACAGAATGATATTTTATTTATAAAAATATATATATTTAAAGTAATAAAAATACTTGAAGAATACTGAATATCGAAACAAAGAGCAAGGAGAAAAGAATTTTGTGTTTAGTCTAAGACCAGGATTTACCTAAAGAATTTATGATATCAAATCATATTTATACCCTTCCAAGGTATTAGAGTTTAAGTCTGAAGGTTGCTACACAGTGAAGGAATCATTTTTGATTTTTGCAAAAATAGATAGGGGTTACATCATTAAAATGTTCAAAAATTGGCAAAAATTTCAATTTTCTGAAATTTTAAATTGAGTATGCAGATTTGTTAACCAATAAAACCTGGCGTACAAATGGTTTCCGAATTGAAATTAGTGTATTTTTGGCTAATTTATGAGATTTTTAAACTTTAATTTTTTAGTTTAGTTGTGATCTATATTATAATTTATTTGCAAACTGCAAGGTTTTGTAAACTTTGGCTTCCCGAAGTTGGTTTCCTATCTTGTTAGGTATGGAAATTATACTTAAATTATTATTGTGTGATAATAGAACATCGATAAATAGCTTGTGTAGAGACTGATCTACCTTAGCTTATCTTAGTATCTTACAACAAAATTGAGGTCTTATTTTCCCAGTGTTCCTCAGCCAAAAATTAAAACTTTAAACTCATGAAAATGATTGAAAATCTGATTTTTCAGTCAACCTGTCAGAAATGGCGCTATCTGCCCCAAAAATCGACTCAATAAAGTGATATCCATCCGTGGAGTGTCAGTCTTTCGTGTGCGATCGACGGTTGAAACAACAGACTTCAATCAAGATCTTACCTCCCATTTTCCATTTTCCATTTTCCATACAATTTCCATGCCACACCACTAAATACTGGCAAGTGTATGTTTACGTTATCTTCGGATTCATTCATTCGATGGCTCCCAAAACAGAGCTCCGGATATATCTGAGTGTGTGCTATCAATCAATCAAGCGAATTGCAATGAATTTTGATCAATATCCGTTTGGGAGGGAAAAAACAGCAATATGTTTGCCATAATTCACGATTTGGCCGAATGATTGACGCCATCTGAGTGTGTTGATTTTGAACTTTACTTCAGGAGAGAGCTGCCAAGATTTAGAGTTCCTCCGACGGGGACCACCTGCTGACAGGAAATTCTCGGCTATTTTCCTAGAGCTTTTCTTGCCGAATGACAAAGGAAATGAAGGCTTGAAACTTTTCTGACGGAAACCCACCGCAGGCAAAGGGAACTTCTTAAAGCTCCCGGCATGGCAATTGCGGAAGTTTTATGTTTTTGGCTGTGCGTAAATCGCTCAAGAAATCAGCTCAAGTGGAATAAGTTGTGGCCTTTAGCCTTGGTTAACACTTTCGCCCCCAAAAGGCCTCGCCTCGCCTCGACTCCGTTTTTCGGGGGTTAACTCCGCACCGAAAAACAAATTGATTTCGGATGAGTCCATCGCCATTGATGGAAATAGTACATGGTCTTGTTCTGTGCCACCTCCTTCAATCGATATCCAAGCATGGATACAATGGGATCTGTATCTGTATCTGTATCTATATCTGTAGCTGTAGCTGTAGTGTGTGTTTACCTTTGCCAATAAATTCACTTAATTGCCGGGAAATAATCATAAAGCAATCGGCCGTAATGCGGATGGGATACAATATTCACACTCTTCATGGAGAATTTGTGGCTCTGTTGAAAGTGTAACTCAGAAATCGTGTGGAATTATGTTGAAATCGATTTTCTAGGAAATTTATGCATCGGAACGGAACCTTTAGTTTTTGGGATTCCAATTGGGCAACACAAAGTTAGCCATTCATACAATGCCACGTGTCTGATATTCCTATTTATAATGCTTCCAAATTCATTGTAAAATTGTATACCAAAATTGTATCTAACATGGAGTTTCCCACGAAGTTTCTATATAGCTGGAGCTACTTGGGTGTCCGCTGTGTAATTTTCCTGGCAGGACGACAGTTTTACAGGCGGCATCCTTCGAATACGCGGGTAGTCATGGATTTTCCCACTGTTTCCCAGCTACGCTCTTACCTTAAACTGGGAAAATAGATCTTAAACTTATTATGTTTGCTTAAGAATGAAGTCTTTATAAAGCGAATCGGTTAAGAGGTGTTCTTCTTTCTTTAGTGTGTTTTATTATGATCTTAACATGGTTTAGATCTCACTATATATTTGGTAACTATTTATGAAATCCTTACACTTCACTTATCACTTTATGTTATTAGCTTTTACAAAGTATCTTTTGACTTCCTGGTTTCCCGATAAACTCTTAGTTTAGCTTAGTTTAGTGACCGCTGTGGGTCTGATTTCGACAGTGGTTATATCGTTGGGAGTCGTCGATATCTGCCGGCGTCAAGTAAATTAGGTAGAGGTGGAACAATTCGATCGAATCGATCCAATCGGAGGGGGAATGAGGAGTGTTTGATTGGGTGGACTGAAAGTTATGCTGAGTGATTCCGTGTAATAAATCAATAAATTACCCACTCTTACGGCAATGGGGCTCATGCAAAACTCTTTCGGGGTTCCTACAGTCGCGTCGGGATTCTACTCCAAGTCCGAAATATCCAAATTTCCCACTCCAGCCACCCAACGCGGCAAATCCAGATCAGAGGCTACTATTTTAAGTTATACGCGGACTAACCATATGCGCCCTGTTCATTTATTCAACGTCGAAAATTGCGACACACACGCTATTCATATATTCAAAAATTTATCATAAAGTCTGACCGGCCGCCTCCTTACGTGACGATCCGGCCATATGCATATATCATGGAAAATTACACTGCGCAACTTCAAATTTATACGGGGATAATTTGGCACAGTTCTGGGAACCCAAGAAACCCACAACACAAATTTATATATTCATAGGTCAGAATATAAGTTAAGTTTCGTATATAATTACCTATAAAGATAGCTTCTCAAGTCGGGATATCTATGATTGATCTCCCACTTTGTTGTACAGTGTGCTTTACGGTCCCGGAAAATGCGGGAAAATGTACGTAACTTACGAAAAATTTCCCAATATCTACTCCCCCCTTTTCGTTTTGCCAGGGTGCAGTCCATGAGCAGACTTCAGAGGCAATCGGGATCAGGAGGTGAGCGCTTCCGATCGAGGGGATAATGTGTTCAATATTTCGCAACCGCATCAATTACCGTGGGACTGGCGGCACCAGGAGCGGCAGCGGTGAGCGGGACAGGGATCGAGAGCGGGATCGGGATCGAGATCGGGACAGAGACCGAGACCGGGACAGGGATACCCTGTTGGCCAAGGAGCTGGATGCGGATAGCAATAATAATGGCACCGAGCCGCAGGTGGAACCGGAAATGGAAGCAGCTCCCGACTGCTCCGACACGGAACGGGAGGCGGAGCAGGAGCAGGAACAGGAGCTGGACAACAGCAATGAGGCGCTCGATCTCTCGGTGATCTCGGCCAGCGGCCGGGGATCACTGCCGGGCAGTGGTCACGTCTCGCTGGAGGCTTTACAACATACCAAAGTGGCGGTGGCCCAGTTTGCGGCCTCAGCGCTGTCCGGTGGAGGAGGCGGAGGCGTCGGTGGTGACCACCAGTCCGCCGACCTGGCCATGGTGCAGTCCACCATCTTCAATGTGCAGCGACAGCATCTGATGCAGCTGCAGCTCATCCAGCACCTGCAGAGTCAATTGAAAAGGGCCGAGGCTGTGGCCCTGGGCAGGCAAACCCAGAGCGATGAGGAGGAGGATGAAGCGGAGCCGGAACCAGAACGGGAGCTAAAGCAGGAATCAGCCAATGGTCTGAAAGAGGAGATCCAAGAGCAGGAGCAGGAGGAGGAACAGGAACAGGAACTGGAACGGGAACGGGAGCGTGAACGGGAGCTGGAGGAGAGTTCAAAGACTGACAAGGCGACGACTGAGGAGAGAAGAGTGCAGGCGGAGATTGAGGGCTCGGACTACCAGCCACTGATGTGCGACATCAGCTCGAGCCTGGCCTCGAGCATCATCACCAACCATGATCCCCCGCCGGCTCCCAATGAGCCCAACTGCCTGGAGATGCTGCAGCGCCGCACGGAGGAGGTCCTGGACTCCGCCTCCCAGAGCCTGCATGCCGCCCAGCTGCAGGAGGAGTACTCGGAGTATGCCTCCAAGGAGGCCCAGAGCCGGGGCGAGATATTCAAGCATCGGTGCAAGTACTGTGGCAAGATCTTTGGCAGCTACTCCGCCCTCCAGATTCACCTGCGTTCGCACACCGGGGAGCGGCCCTTCCACTGCAACGTCTGCGGCAGCAAGTTCACCACCAAGGGCAACCTGAAGGTCCACTATCAGCGGCACACCCAGATCTTTCCGCCCATGCTGCTGCCTCCGGGTGTGGCACCCAATGTGGGGCACACATCTGGTCAGGCCCAGGCACCGGGACAGGGTCAAATCCCAGCTGAACAGTTCCCCATGCGACTGCCCTTTGTGCCGCCAGCGATTCCTTGTAGCCAGGAGCAGGTGCAGCATCAGGCGGAAGAGCAGGAGGAGATCAAGACGGAAATTCCAACTCAGCAGGCGGAAGATCTCAGCAAGCCGGCGGTAAAGGAAAAGGAGAAGGGTCAGGAGAAGGCACACTCGCCCATGGAGAGTGTCAAGACCCCCAAGGCAGTGTCACCAGAGGTCAAGCCCAGACCGCCACCCATTCCGGCTGAACCCTTACCCGAGAAACCCGAAAAGGAAACTCCTCCCAAACCCGCAATGACTCCATCTCGGAGGAATGGTTCTGTACGCAAGAGACAAACAAGCAGCGCTGGAAGTCCACCGCAGGAGGACAGGGAACGGGATCTCGCCGAGCACCTGCACATAGCCAAGTTGGTGAGGCGCTCCTCCTCTAGCCGAGAGTCCCAGCAGCCGGCCGAGTATTCCCTCGCCCAGATGGAGCGCATCATTGACAAGTCCTGGGAGGATCTCATCGAGATCGACAAGACATCGGAGACCTCGAAGCTGCAGCAGCTGGTGGATAACATTGAGAATAAGCTGACCGATCCCAATCAGTGCATCTTCTGCCAGAAGGTCATGTCCTGCCGCAGCTCCTTGCAGATGCACATTCGCACCCACACCGGCGAGCGACCTTTCCGCTGCAAGATCTGCGGGAGGGCCTTTGCCACCAAGGGTAATCTCAAGGCACACATGAGTATACACAAGATCAAGCCACCGATGAGGAGCCAGTTCAAGTGTCCAGTGTGCCACCAGAAGTTCTCCAATGGGATCATCCTGCAGCAGCACATTCGCATCCACACCATGGACGATGGCAGCGGTGGTCAGGGAGGTGCTCCACCAAATCCCGGGAGGTTGAGCGGTTGGGTATTGAAGATCAAAACTCGAACAAGTCCATGGGCACTTCTGATACCCTGGATTTCTCTACAACCATTTCGGATCATTCGGGCCAGAGGTCTGAGTCCTCGCAAGGCGGCGATTTCGATGAGTTCATGACCATGGACAGTACCGATGACTCCAGGGATAATTCGAGTGCGGCCACTGCCACGCCCCATCCTCTGGAGAGGGAGAGGGATAGGGAGAGAGATCGGGAGAGGGAACGAAGGCCACAAAATGATGGTTCGATGAGAGATCTCACTCTAATCCCGATCTCGCTGGAGGTCGCTCTGAGAGCGGAGAGATGCCCGCCATGGATCTATCTTCGCCATCATCAGCCTCTGGTCGCATTTTCGGTGCTGGAATGGTCAATGGAGCGGCAGGTGGAGGAGGATCAGGAATGCCCATGCTGGGAATGCCCATGCCCCCAAACCTACTCCTCATGGCGGCTGCCCGAGAGGAAATGCATGCCTTGGGTCATGCCCATGCCAATTCCCGCTGCTGCCCTTTGGTCCACTTGGATTTATGGGTGAGTTAATCTAAATAATACTAATATTTTTAAAAGATATATGAAAAGTAGATAATCTTTCCTCAAAAGAGATTTAATTGGTACCACAACTGCTTTATTTATTTATCAAGTCAAGAGATTTATATAAATAAACAGCGTGACATTAACTTTTGCTGTGCGTCTGTGTCTCTGTGCAAGATGACAAAGTCCCTTTGTCTGCCACCTTTGACCCCGTCAGCGTTTGCCACTCCGCCGGCAGAATGGCACCGCGATAAATCTGCGATCTGGCCGCGACATAACTCAATTGGACCGGGACAAAGCAAGCACTTCTCTTTCGGCACACTACGCCCAGCTCCATTCCCCCCAGGCCTATGCCAAATTCCGCAATTTATTTATAAACATTTGGCGCATTCCCGAGTGTAGTCGCGATCGAGCAGCGATCTGTCGCCTCATTATGTCACAACCTCTTCAGTGGATGGATATTTATTATATCTCCGATTTGCTGCCAGCACGTGTCGGAAATTATGTGTGCCCCCAAGATGACCTACCCTTGAGTAACTCTTTGTCTGTGCACCGCCTTCTTTTTCTTTGCATCCGCAGGCCTGCACCCGCCCCCCAATGTGTGCAATCTGTGCTTCAAGATGCTGCCCAGCCTGGCTGCCTTGGAGAGTCATCTGCAGAGCGAACATGCCAAAGAACCAACAGCGGGACATGCCCATCGCACCCACTGCAATGATGCTGGAGCACCATACGGTGCCAAGGTGAGTCTTAATAGTTAATAGTTATATATTCCAACTTTAAGAGCATAAATCTTATCTTGTATAATATTCAAGTCACTCCTTTCCATAGCTCATCTCCATTGTACCCCGAACCAAGAGCATTTCCCTTTCTGGTGCAACCACTAATCACCTTCATATAGTTCCCTCTTGCCACACATTCCCTGCCTCCCAAATATGGTGGCACTTACATCACACATCTATCCACGTAGCCTAATCCCAGCTCAACTCTCGCTCTGAGAACTAATGCCATCTGGCGAGGAATGAGTCGGAATCAACTGCGTCGACTTCGACATCGGCCCTGCCTTGGTCATGATTAATTAAAATGTTCACGGGTTCAGTCGGGCTTGATTTTGGCCAAATATGGCCTGGAGCTTGGCCCGTTTTGTGGCCGCGACCATACAAATTATGAGCACATTATTAATTGCTCAGTGGGGTTCGCCTTATTATGAAGAAATTGTGGCCAACTTGCATAGTTTGCCTTAATTGTTGGCGTTCCGCTTTGCGGCCTCCCAACTCTCCCAACTTGGCCAAGAGCTGGAAACCCGACCTCCAGTTCCCTCACAGGTTCATCTTGCAGCTAAAGGAGAGAGAGTGAGCTTTAAGTGCCCCGGATTACATTGCCCAACAATGCCAATTATTTATTAAAGTGCGTTTGCCGTTCGTTAGGATGGATAGATGGAGGGAAAAGAAGTGCTGCTGGGGACTGCTGTGTGCCCCATAATTTAAGTACAAATGCGAGTATTAATATTTATTTCTAGACGGGGACGGCACTGCGGCATTGTCTCTCTATGACTAATGACATCGTTCATTATGGCTAACATTCTTGGAGAATTTCCAAAATTGAAAGTGAGTGCCTTTAGGAAACAGGGACGGAATTGGAGGAGCTCCCCTAAAGAGGCTAAAAATAGTAAATTTCTACTTAAGATTAGATCTTTAATAAGTGGAAATAATGTAGATACTTGTGTGATATTTTTTTGATGGAAAAGGTTTAGGTTAGTTCCTAGGGATTTAGGATAGACTTATCCATTCTTAAAGGTATGTATTTATAAGCCCAACCATTATCTCTCTAGACAATTCAAATTTCCTCTTATTTTAGTTATATTTTCCATTAGGTTTATATACAATCTCATCCCAAAACTCCCCTTTTAAACCGCTCCTGTTCTGGCCTTCTGCATTGTGGTCGAAATGAGAATGCAGTGTAAATGTCATAACATTTTAGTTGGTAATCAGCAAGTGCCCTCCGGATTCTCTTCACTCCTATCCCTTTGGCAATGCCAGACAGCTCTTGTTCTTTATTCTCCTCACTTTGGGATTCGGGATGATGAGGACCAGCCACGTTCCGATTTGCTCGCTTAGCACATTGTTGATGATCTAGAGCAGACGAACATCGGATCGGGATGGAGAGCTGGGGATAGTGTAGCAGCAGCTAGGACATATAATGGGGATTCAGTTTCGGGTTTCGGGTTGGAGGCTGGGAAATCGGCATCATCTTTTGGGCTTGAAATTTCTAAATGATTCAAAAATCTTAAGTAATTACGAGAATGCATTATGATGATGCGAAATTTACGACTCCGTCTGGTATGCCCTGGTCCCTGGATTGCGGATAGAAGTCTAGGGAGTCTGTCGAGGGGATCGGCAGATCGAGAGGCGAAGAAAGATATAGAAGGCCTGTGTGCCGGATCGGTGGCGGTGTGTGCGATGCATTCAATGCAAATAAATTATGCTACGCTTTATGCAAAATTATTTAATCTTTTGTTCGTCGCGTCTGCTGGGGGACACAGCTAAGAGGGGGGGAAGCTGCGCGGCATGCATGCAAGTCCCCCCTCCGCCGAGCAATTGTTTTGCCATAAAAATATGAGACCCGGCGGCATCGTCTGCCCGAGATAATTAGTTGCCATTATTACACGCGATGGCATAGAATAATTGTGAATTATGTTTCTCTTTCGCAGTCTCTCGATCTCGGGGAAAATAAGATTGGCGCGAGACTGAGGCAGTGGGATTAACGGCACATTTAACCGAAAATGCACAGAAATTAGCGCCCGTCGTGAATGCATTTCGCCCTATAACTTTGTATTTCATCCCGTCATTGCAGCTCACTCTCAATCCAAATCTGTTTGCAAAAAGCCGCCTTCGACGGGCGACAAGCTGCCGCCGGCATCATCACCTCGTCCTGTGTCCCAGAGCTCTGAAGTTCCTTCGAGGGCGACACCAGTCAAGGAAGAGCAACCCGATCAGGATCATCTAACTCTGGAGGAGGGAGCATCATCGGCTGGCGAAGGTTCGACACCAGGTGGTGCTCCTAGTGGTGGTGCCTCTAGCTATCCCCAAGAAGCCGGCGATGCCGAGCAATCGCTGATGAAGATGCAGCTCCGTAAGTGATACATCTCGTTTTCCCCCTCTGGATGTGCCTGACTGTCCTCCCATTAGATGCCCATCGCTTCCCGGCCAGTCCACTTGATTTTCAACAGGCTCTGATGTCCGCCGGTCCTCCGAGCTCCAGTCTGGATCCGCCGGTGAATAATAAGCACTTTTGCCACGTCTGCCGGCGGAACTTTAGTTCCAGTTCTGCCCTCCAAATCCATATGCGAACCCACACGGGTGACAAGCCCTTCCAGTGCAATGTGTGCCAGAAGGCCTTCACCACCAAGGGGAATCTCAAGGTGGGCTTAGAGAGGGTCCTTGTTTAGTTTTAGCACTTTATTAATCTTATTTCCCCCCGAAATGTGTTCAATATTGCTCCCACTCAGGTACACATGGGTACGCACATGTGGACGAATCCCACTTCGCGGCGAGGACGTCGTATGTCCTTGGAGCTCCCCATGCGTCCTGGTCCCAATCAGGGAACTGGACATCCAGGATCGAGTGCGGAGCAGGAGTTTATGCAGCGAAGACCGGAGCTTTTCTTTCCCTACCTGCCGCCTTTCTTTAATGGATTGCCACCAAAGGTGAGTTAGCACTTAAGAATTCTTGGGATATATAATAATTCTAAGCTTGTGAAATATAAATAAATATGTTTAAGGAGTTATGTTATTATATCCTTTGGGGGTATTATAATTTCAGTCAGAAGTTTGTTAAGCAGTGAAGGAATAATTTCCGACCCTGTAAATCATATATATTATTGATCAGAATTAACTGGGAAAACGATGTAGACAAGTCCGGTAGAAAAATAAATTTTTGAAATTTTTTCGATTTTTGCAAAAAATTATAAGGGGTTACATCATTAAAATGATCAAAAATTGACAAAATGTAGAATTTTTAAAATCTTAAATTGAGTATGCAGATTTGTTAACCTATAAATAACTAGTATAAAAACGCTTTCCGAATTGAATTTAATGAATTTTTGGCTTGGTTTTCAGAGATTTAGAACCGACCTCCTGATACAATTTCATTCTGTAAGGACATAGAAACTTCGGCTTTCCGAATTTAAAAACCTTTCTTGTCTTTAATTTGGTTTTCTGTTAAATGGTTAACTCTTTTGACTCTTCATAAGCCCTTGCTTCTTTATTTAAACATTTTTATAGCCTGGTGAACTGAGTCCCGGCGCCTTTTCCAACATCCCTCCGCCGCCTTTTGCCAATGGAGGAAAGTATCCCTATCCACCAGGACTTCTTGGTTTCCCAGGCTTCCTGGGACAGCATCCATATGGCATGGATCGCAGGAGCAGCAGCAAGTCACCCACACCAGAGCCGGCCCAGAGTCCCTCCCTGAGGGAGGAGGAAATGGGAGCCGGCAGCATTTGGCATCCGCTGAGCAGGATCAAGGTGGAGGGCAACCAGGGCGAGGCTCTGCTCCACGAGCAGGATGACCAGGCGGAGGCTGAGACAGAGGCCACCGGTGGGGGAGACATGGAGGAGTCAGAGTCAAGAGATGCAGAGAAGTAACTGATGGAGGAACAGTCTTAGATCGAGTCTTAGTCTTGGAACACACATGGTTTTTGTGGAGTACATATCTTGAGCATAACCCATACGCTAAGCTTCAACTAGCACTGACACACACACACCCACACACACTCAATGCAAACACGAATCCTTACACACACACACATATACGAATATATCCTTTGTGTCTATATATATATATATAAAATAGTACGTTAATTGATAGCGATCTTCAAGGCATTTAAATGCATTAAGTCTAGCCGGTAAGTTGTAAAAAATAGCAGATCGAGGAACGCTTCTCCTCGACCTCGGATCAGGCGGGCTGCAAAGGTCAGAACTTAACTAATTTTATGGCTATATCTAGATAATATACTAAATACATATACAGATAAACATACACGTAATGTAAACTGTGGTAGTTGCATATAAAAAAAAGAAAATTGAAACTAAAAACCCGAAAAGAAACCCGCGACAAAAATGATCAAAAATAAAGCCGGCGTGCGAAAATGCAAATAACAAGTTGTGACTTTTTGACATTGCTCTTCCGGGAAGTGGGCAGCATTCCATTCCGTTCGAATTCGGGGGGATCCCCTACACCACAATGGATTCAATAAATTCATGCAAATTGGCAGCTTCGGTAAGTGCGTCGTCGTCTCCTCTCGATCGGGCCACATGCCACGCGTAGGCCATTCATCATCCCATTCCCTCTGGGCGGAGGACGCCCTCGTCTTGCCCCCAGAAGAGTACCCCATACCCATCCCATCCCCATCCTCATCTCAGCAGATGTTCGCCTTTTAATTCATTTACCCAGACGAATTTTTTTTTGGGCGAAGAAGTGTCGCTTTTGCCTCACATCCCTCGTGGTCGCCGAACTTTTAATTATTCCCTTGTCATTTTTTGCTTTGGCGCTGCCTCTAGCCACAGCGAAGACAATGCAACAAATAATAATTTCTAGACCGCAAACAACTTGATGTCGCCGCAAATTATAAATGTTGGCCGAATATGACAGGCGTTGTCTGGCAGCGAAACAAAAGACTGTCCACTCGGACACGGATATCTTATTTGAGATTGTAAAACCACAAAGAAATTATTTCTATCTAAGTAGGAATATACATAAGTTTTAAAAGATTAATATATATAGGAGATTATAGTGACAAATTTTGCAATATAGTATGTCCTATTGCTAGGAATTTATTTTGTCTTGCAGAGAATCTTTTCTTATTTATTTATTAAGACAGAATACCACCTTTGTTATTAGTAGTTTGTATTGGAAAGAAAGCACCTAACATTAAGACTTTTAATTACTTTAATTAATAACATTACCCCCAAGTTCCTCCTTTTCAAGGATCTTATAAGGCCAAGATCCTCAGGTTTCATTCCCCTTCAACTGCCACAAATGCAAATGTTGGCCATCAACTTGCACATAAACACCTCTAAATATTGCAACCCTTTCTCTCTCTGTGCTAGTGGCATGTGGCATTTGCTGGCAATTCCATTTCACATTTTCCATTTTCCACAATGTTGCGCTTTTCCCGAGAAATTTAGCTCATTTCATGGACGCACATATTTCATATGCGGCCGTAAAGTGTCTTGTGTCTTGCAAAAGGGGTGAAAAAAAGTCCGAGACTATTAACACAACTTCGGAGGCTGGAGCCATTAACTCTGCGGTGTAATCTTCATCGGCCTCCTGCATCGAAATGAGCGATGAGAAATTGTGCCATGTCTGTGTGTCGCGATTTCAAGATCAACAGACATCATTTTCACGATCATAATTCCGCCAGTTGGCAGCCGTCCGTCGGGCAACTTAATAACCTCATTTCATAGAGTCTCCTGTCCTACCTCCCGACTTGCATTTTATATTTATTTTGCGTGCAATTTGTTTGATCTGTGCGCGTAATTAACTCTGTCTGCAGGCAACGCGTCGTCCAAAAATGGTCTATGAATAATAACCCAGCCTCAGCCGGGGCAGGAATTATGATTTTTGTTTGATGGCCACCGAGGTAGGAGATACAGAGACACACTGGCATACCGTGGCGAACTTTGAAGTGTGTCTAATTGGGCGCCGCTTTTAAAGAGTGAAATTTTGGGGGAAGTGAAAGTACCTCATCAATATATCTACATTAAACTTCATAAGGGGGATAAGTGACACACTCTAAAGAGTGCCTTTAATTGGACTAAAAGGTGGAGATAGTTGGAATGGTGTGTGTAACCCACCGTTAGTCTTTGGAAAAACCACCATGGCCATCGACAATGCAGTTTTATTGATATGAAAATGGAAATGGCAATGGTTCGTCGTAGTCGTCGTCTCTAGAGAACAAGCGGCCATCGTGTAGCGCGTTTTATGGCACCCACAAATTCCGTGCTAATTGTTGCACCGCGAACCCGAACTGGTTTTTTTTTGTGGAGGTGCCTCCACATCCACATCCACATCCTCCTCCACTCACCATCGAGATGCTGCTGCCATTGCAGCAGTCTCCTCCTGCTCAGGGAGTAGTTTGCTTCAATTTTGCCTCAATTATTTCGCTTGTTTGTTTATGGAGGAATCTTTAATCTCGGCGCTGCAGCACTGGTGTCGCCGCAGCCTTGACTCCTGCGGCTCCTGGAGCTTGCTCCCCATGCGTGGCAAAAGATCTAGACAACACCTTCGAGCTGAGCTCTTTCCCGATCCCTGTCCTCTGTCCCTATATCTATGATCGTTGGCGACGGACGAGGTCGGAGCTGGACAAGTGTTTCGAAAATGGATTATTCATGTTGTCCTTGCCGGGGCAATCGGCGGCTTTTGGTCTTTCCCTTGTCTCTCTCACTGTTGTCATTGTTATTGAAGTTTCTGGTCTTGTTTTGCGAACTGAAGATGGGTGAGACCGGTGAGGCTCCCTTCAAGATGGAGTCACCGATTGTGGGATGTGACTCTAGCTGAGATTTAAAGCTAAAGAAATTGAGATCTTCTTAAGGAAATTTGTAAATATTATTAAGGAAAATACCCTACACTTTCTTCGATATATTCTTGTTGCTCTTTAAATAATTTTCAGGGGGAGTTACACATGCTATCAGTGCCCTCTTGTGTGTTTATATTTATCTATCTAGCTAAAAATATATCTGTAGCTCCAGCACAGCCTCACACTATACCTGGCTGGCCCTAATAAATTTATAAAGCTTGATATTATCGCGGCATCGTAATCGTAACTCACATCCCCCCGTCCCACCTGATCGGGTTTGGGTTCCTCCGATAAAGCGGATGAGAGGCCATGGCCATGGCATCATTTGCATTTGAAGGAAGCAATGCCACACGCACAGAATCCACATCTCAGAAGAGGTGGAGTAGGAGCATGGCCTGGGGCCTTCATAATGATGATGTTCAATTGCAGCTCACGCCGAAAAGTATTCCCAGATCGATTCTAATTTCGAGGCGTTAAGGTGTGAAAATACCTACAAGGCAGGGAAAATAATGGAAATGGAAATGGAAATGGGACTACGACTGGGCATCCCTTCTCCTTCATCTGTCTGCTTGCCTGAGAGACGCTGCCGAGTCTGGCTGTCATTAGCGGTATTCAAATCATAACATAAATACACTTGTCGTCTGTCGAGGGCTCTGTGGTCCCCCCATCCCTCTGCCTCCGGAGGATTATGACAGGGCCAAAAGGGGGAAATCCGTCTGTCTGTGGCTGCGCCGACTGCGCCTTCATCTTCAGCAACTTGTTGGCTGCTTTTCATTTTGATAACTTGTCAAAATAGTCTGGAGCCCGCGGCGAGTGGCATGATAAATGCCGCCAGACAGCGCGGAAGCCCCTGACAAAGTGTTGAATGCCAGGGCCACTTTATTATTGCCATTAAGAGGCAGTGTGTGCCGCCTTTGCCAGTTGGCTTTACGACCCGACTCTGGGGGGTGGGACATGCAACTTTGGTGGCATAAACTTGTCAGGCAACGTCATAAAACCGACCCACCCACCCTCGACCTTAGTTACCCCCAAAGAATATCGAACTGCTATCCCAAGTTCTTCTCCAACTCCCAGGTAAATCCCTTATGGAACAGAGGCACTAAATATTGTTGTAATATTTGCCAAAATTATTTGCCGGTCAGCGGTTATCGATTGCCCCCAAAAAGCATGGCCAAGGTCTGCACTTTCAGAAATTGTGAGTCAGAATCTATTAAAAGAAAATTGTTTAAAATGATGTAATCGTTGCATTAGAGTTTATGTTTTATAAATTAACTTAAGATATTCGAACTAAACCAATTTTAGAAAGAGTAGTTACCATATATCCTTTGCTATGTCAGAATAAGTTTATAGTTGCTTAACATATTATTATGTGGATTAGAAAGAAAGAAGAAACGATGCTGTCTAATAATAAATCATGCTTCATATATATCTCCCAAATTATAATAAGAAAGAATGTGATTCTATATTGATACATTTCTCATATGTCTTGGGGTTAGGAAAACCTCCCAAATATTTTTCCAGTGCTTTCCTGGTTAATCCAGTGCCTGCCTTGGACCTTCGGCACTTACCTTAATGCCGGGACTGATTGGAATATGATATTGGAGTCTGGTTTTATGGCAGTTCGACTCGAATTTATGTACAAGTCGATTTTTGGCCTCTGAACTCCCAGGGGGAGGTGAGTCCCATCTTCCTGCCTTCGGGTTGAATTAATAAAGTTCTCTCGTGCCGCTTCCTTCGACGCTGCTGCGGGACATGGCTTAATTTGTTAGACGTTATCGCTTCCGCTTAAAGCCAACTGCCGCCGACTGGCGGCGAGTGCAACAAAATGCATTTCTAGTTGCAACTGCAACTTGTTTTGGGATCTCGGATGGGGGAAGAAGACGTGGGGCAGTGACTGGGGCTAGGACTAGAACCTGGGGCTGGGCCACGGTCACGTGCAGCGTGCAATAAGCTAAACATATTCGCATGTTGTCCGATCCACAGAGCTGTGCGTTATCGATACTAGCGTGGCCTTGACGACCGACAGGAAAACATCGATATGTGTTCGAAGAGGTACTATCTTGTGGGTTAATACGTTATGTGGAACGGGGAATTGTGTTCCTTCAGAGCAAATACCTAAACTCAATTTACTCAGTTTAAAATGTCGGAAACCTTTCCTATGCTAGTTTTTATCAGGGCAACAAAACTGCATACTCAATTTATTTGCAAATTAGTCCTTC